GGATTTAAATCCTTCAATAAAAAAAGTTCATTGTCAGACTATAAAACAAACCAAATGTTCTTTTATCTAAAGAAGATGACATACCACACCATGTGCACGCCTGTATTTCCAGCTAGGAGGAGGCTGGGGCTGGAGGGTCACACATCAAGCCTCAAAATAAAAAATAAAAAATAAAAAAAAAGTGGGTGGGCCACAGAGATGAAAGGCAGTGCTCCCTGGCCTCAAACCCACATACTGCTTTTTAAAAAAAAGACACACAAAAAAGATTTTAAAATTTAATGGAGGGGAAAAAAAAATTAATGGAGGAAATATAACCAAAAAATAGGACAAAAAGCAGGCTGGTCCCTCAAAAGCCACGCGATACTATCTCTCATCCGCTGGGAGGGTGACTGAAAAGCCAGAGAACACTGTGTCCCGCTGTGAGGGAACCCAGGCGCCGGATCTGGACCGCTGTGCTGGATCCACCCTCCAGGGGTGCAGAGCACACTCACCCTGAGTGTCCGTGTGCCGCCGGGCGTGGGCGAGTACGAAGCGTTTTCCCAGCGGGTGCAAAACACCGTAACTGTCTTATGTGACAGGCGATGCGTTTGACAGAAATTTAAAAACAGGAACTGACAAGGGCGTGGAGGAACCGAACCTCCGCACGGTTGGGGGTGACGCACGACAGTGCAGCTGCTGTGGAAAACCCGTCAGCGGCTCCTCTCAACAGAGAAAAGCAGAATCACCACACCGGGCAGCAATTCTGCTTCCACGTAGATAGCAAGAAGACCGGACCGCAGAGAGCATCTTAAAGAGATCCCTGCGCGCGCAGGCTCAGAGCCGCACCATTCACAATAGCTAAAAGCCGAAGGAACTATCTGTGGATGGCTCGGAGAGTAAGAAAGACGTGGGGTGCACACACCGCGGGATATTGTTCAGCCTCAGAATCAAGGGAAGCCTGACGTGTGCCAGCATATGGAGAACACGGAGATATGCTAAGGGAAATAAGCCAGTTGCCCAAAGACAAAACTTGGTGATTCCTCCTGCCTCAGCCTTCCAAGTCCTGGGACTACATGCCTGCACCATCACACCTGGCAGAGAACGGAGAATTACTACCTGGTGGTCTGTTTTATAAGACAAAAAGAGCTGTGGAGACGGATGACGGTGAGGGTTGAGCAACAGTGTGAATGTATTTAATCCCACTGAAATGTGTGCTCAAAAATAAAGTATGGGTGTGGTAGCACACGACGCAATCCCAACACCGGGAGGCAGGAGGATCACAAGATCAAATCCTGCCTGGGCACATTACTGACTTGGCAAGACCGTGTCTCAAAATACAGAGTATAAGGCCACACTCGGGAGGCTGAGGCAGATGGATCGTTGCGAGTTCGAGGCCAGCCTGGGCTGCATAGTGAGTTCAAGGCCAGCCTGAACTGCATAGTGAAACCCTGTCTCAAAAAACAAAACAAAAAAAAGAGTACAAGGCCAGCCTAGGCAACACAGCGAAAATTCTCACAGGAAAAAAAAAGTTAAGAGAGTGTTATGATTTGTGTTTGGATGTTCCCCTAAAGCCTCATGCAGTCATGGGGCGGGCTTCTAGAGTTTATGATTGATTCACGGTCCAGTGTTCGGATTATGGGTGTGAGTGCTACATTCGCCCTGGGGTGGGTAGTTTGCCTACAATGTAAGGGAGGAAAAGAGGCTTGCTCTTGTTGCTTTTGCTGTCTTCCACCACCATGAACTGCTTCTCTCTGCCATGTGCCACTCTGCCCTGCAGCGAGCTGATTATGGACTGACACCTCCACAAACTGTGAGCTACATAAACCTTCCCTTCCTTAATTTTGGGCGTCAGGTATTTTGTCTCAGCAACGAGAGAAAAGTAACCAAGACAGAGAGTAAATTTTATGTTATATATTTTTTACTACAATAATAAATAGCAAAAATAAGCCAAAAAAAAAAAAAAAAAAAGCAGCCAGGCATTGTGCTGCACCTGCACACCTAATCCTATGACTCT